AAAAAAACATGCTGGGTTTTTTTTCCGGACATTCCATTCATTTCTATGGCTGGGTCAAAATGACCAGTGAGGGACACTTTTGTTACTTTTTTTTTTATTACACCCACATAGAATCCTCGAATCGACTCAAATTTTTTGTGTGTGCTCCAGGGACATGCACATACATTTTGAGGGGCAGGGGCTCAAGTGGAAAAAAAGGGCACTTTTCATATTTATTTAAACATTTTTCTAAACAAAACGATAAATATATTAGGGTTGAGCGATATTGACAAAAATATATATCTCAATATTTTCTGTGCAATTCTATGCAATTTTATGTCATTTTTCCCCACCAGATGGCATCAGAGACACTCGAGCCGCTTTCACACTGCACGTTGGTCCCGGAAAATTGCCGGAGGGCCTTCTGTGTAAACGCAAACACATCCCGGGATTGATTCCGGGATTGTTTCCGGGTTGGGGACCTAGTAACATTGCCGGGTTCAGTCCCGCAATGAGCTCTGTGTAAACAAAACGTTATCGTGCGACTCTTTTACCGGGTGTTTTGAAGGCAGATCAACGTTCGCGACGAAAAAATATGTGCAAACTGTAATGAAGCAGAGATCAGGTAGCTCCTCACTATCTGCGCTGATCGTTTGCCAGCTTAAATGAAACCGAACGGGTCACATTACACGTCACATCGTAATGTCACGTGTCTTTACGGGATGTGTGTGAACACACACACAGATTCCGGAAAATCACTGGCAGTGTGATTGAACCACAATCAAACGATCCCGGGACACATTATCCATGTATTTTCCGGAATTTCTGTGAAAGAGGCTTCAGTGACCTAAGTATAAATATGCAGAAATTGTCTTACTTTTTGTGTGTGTGTGCGTGTGTGAAAAAGTGTACAAAAATATGCTAATTTGCATAAAAATATCCAGAATTTAATGTGAATAAAATAAAAATTATAAAAATGGACCAATATAAGCTTTCTGGACCAAAAAATAAATAAATAGTGTCATTTTTGGCCTTCGGGTCATTTTGACCCACGAGGGACACTTTTGTTATAGGTCGGGAGGGACGGATGAGGGTTAATTCCCTCCTTATTTTGCTTTTCCTGTCCTACCAACCTAACTGCATCAGCATATGATACTTTTTCCCCTTTCTTTAATCTGCTGCACCTCCACTTCCCTCCTATATATTTCACATCCCCAATATGCAACACTATCGCTTCCTCTACAATTGCAACATTTTGGTCTCACTCCCGCCCCACACTTTCTGTATTCATGATCCCCCCCCACACCTAGCACATTAACTTTTTCGTTACCTGTGCGCGAGTGAACCGTCCGCGGGAGTGCCGGAGCGGTTATTTATTTGTATGGTAACTAATTAATTCAAATAACAAAGCGATTACACATATAAACACTTAAAAAATATACTCTGCAGTGTCACTTGCAGCTTTTCCCGAAGCATTGGGAACTTTCAGTAACTCCCCACTCTCCAACTTCTCCCTGATGCTCTGCATGGTCAACTGTCACCTGTATAGCCTACTAATGTGTGCGTGTATGAGTTGCGTATTGCGTAGATGATGTATAGGTTAATACTTATAATATAATCAATATAACTATATTTCATACTGTAGCCTATGTGTGCTCTGCGCGTATATGGACACAAGAGTAAGGAGAGAAGCTAAATAAGCCCGAGCCCAATCTTTAAAAAAAATAAAAATGGCCCGAGCCCGGCCCGAATGGACTCAGCGTGTCAGGACTCGACGGGCTTGCTTCCCTATACTTTATCGGTTTAATGTTTATTGCTATCCTCGAGGCCTACTTTACAATACACACAGACCATTGCATGCAATTATTTCTTTTGGAATCAAAACCTTTTTCTTTTTGTTCTTTAAATTTTGGAGGAACATTTTCTGAGTGTCCTCCCAGCTAACACAATTACGTAACTGTTACGTATCTGCAACGTAATCTGGTGACCAAAGTTACGTCGTGGCGACGTAACAAGTTTCGTCGTGGCAACCGGAAAAGTGAAAGGTGCATATACGTCGCCGCAACGTAACTTTGTGACGTTGCCAGTAAGTAACTGCAACGTCGTGGCAACGTCATGGCGACCTCATGGATCCATAGTCACGTGTTGGTAACCAGTTCGTCATTTTAATTATTTAATCAATATGGGCGGACGTAGCTAATTTAACTTGTCCTCATTTGCCCAAAACTATTTAAGATACCTTTTCAATGACATATGAAAGACTCGAATTTGATTAATTCAGTTCGTTTATTATAGATATGCCTATAGAGAAAGCACAAATAACAAAAACATTAAACAGGTTTATAAACATGTAAATGAACAAAGATTTTCTTCAGAAGCTTGAACATTCTCCACATTTACTCCTCCGTCTACTTACTCCCCCACGTGTCCCTAAACAAGAAAAATGAAAGAAAGAAAGAACAGGTGAGTGTTTTCCCATTTTAACATTAAAATACACAAGGCAATTAGCACTGAAAGAAGCAGCAATATGTATTAAGCAGATCGTTTTGTGTTAAAATCGTTCACTTTTAAACACCGTCACAAAAGTTACTTTGTGGCAAGGAATAAAGGAAACGTTTTTGTTTGTTTGTTTGTCACAGCGTAACCGTTTAATGGGTCCACGACGAAAGGTAATTTGTCAAGATTTGGTACATATGTTTCACTTATGTTGGGGGTATTTAAAGCCCGAATTATTGTTTAGAACAAACTAGTATTTATTTATCTATTTTTAATAAAATATATTCATATGGCAAAAATAGTATAGCAAAAGTAGTCTTGTGTGCATGGCAAAATAGCACAATAATAGTGTATAATATCTCTAATTGGCTGAAAGCCCTTAGCAACATTCAAATTGATCTCCGATTGGTTTGCGCAGGAGATACTGATCTGAAGATTAACCTAGCTGTTGAACGTTTGATTTCAAATTGTCTGTAAACGCGGCGATTTGATTTTTTTTTTATCATAGATGTACACTCACAATCAGCGGTAAGTTTATAATATACTGATCGTATTTTATATCGATAAATACATTTCTATAAAGTTCTTAAGCGTCATCAATTGTCAAAGTGCATATGTTTGGTACAAATTGCATGGTCATGTTGAGTATAGTAGATGATGGGTAAATTCTAGTTTATAATTGTTACAGAGGTAAGATCTGTGATTTTAAAAGGTGCATGTTGTCAATTTCATGTGTAATTTCACAGGTGTATATTTTAATGAAGAAATTCTTTATTTATGACAGTTTTTCACGTGTTCGTGCACGTGTTATGGGCCATTTGTAATCGTCAGTGTTTTTATTTTATTTTATTTTATACTGCTTCTGTTTGGCTTTTAATTACAGAACATTCTCTGCTTTTCATACCTCAGCACTTTTATTTATGTGCGCCGGCGCATGTTTAAGAGTCTCTGCAATTAAACTTTCTATCTCCTTCTCCCCAAGACCAGCTTTCCATTTCATGACCGCATCTGGAATTAAACAGAAGTCACAGCCGTTACAGTATGTAATACCATAACGTTGTTCATGCTTGTTTTATCAGTGTGTTTATTCATATGTTCAATTGTGTATAAATTAGATATAAATGTCAAGTGTATAATTTAAATACAATGTATACACTTATAATTTAATTAATCATACTATTTTGTCATACTATAAAAATCATACTAATTAAAGTATCTTTACAGAAAGTATTCCAATGTCAAAAACTGAATTTTTAATTTTGTTAAAAAGTAAAGAAAAATAAAATAAAGTTGTGCTAGAAAATGCAGAAAGGACTTGTATAAAGTCAAGACAATATGATGTAATGGCAGCTTTACTATTTCAGTGTCAAATTTGTTACACATTTGTCTCTGTTCATAAACTAATCATTGTTACTCACGTGTGATAACTTTGCACATTGTTGTTTTAATCAGAGCCAGCTTCTTTCGCTTCCCATGCAGGCTGTAGTGGCTCCATACGTTGTTGGTGGCTACTGCCCGCATTACCCTCCTTACACACTCTCCTGGATTGGCCCCACCGATAAGGCTGAGATGGTGTGTCTGGAAGAAAATGCCATTTGTTGGCATGCAGGTAACCAAAGGTAATAGTATACTCATTATGCTGTAAAATGTTATACCAGTTTCATTATATGAAACCTATTTGGCCATTTGCAAAATTATGGAAAAGGGATACCAAAAATTAAAGTCATATCATTTATCATATCATATCACTTTCGTGAAGTTCTTTCTTCTGGTGAACAAAGGAAGATATTTTGAAGAATGTTGGTAATGAAACAGTTGCTGTTCTGTGTTGACTTCCATAGTAGAAAAAAAAATACTATGGAAGTCAGTGGGGGCCAGAAACTGTTTGGTTACCAACATTCTTAAAAATATCGTCTTTTGTGTTCAGCACAAGAAAGAAACTCGTACAGGTTCTGAACAAGTTGAGGGTGAGTCAATGATAGAATTTTCATTTTGGGGTGAACTAACACTTAAGAGGTAGATGTAAAATAAATGTATTTCATACTAGTTTGCCTAATCCTAAAAAATGATACTGGTATTGATATAAAATCTGCAAAGAGAAGGTATAATGATGTTGGATACTTTTTTATTTTTTTATTTTGTTCTCTGAATTAAGTTGGCACCCACCACTTTCTTTCTAAATTCAGGGTCCTTAAGGTGGTTCTCAAGGTCCTCCAATTCCTCCTTGCACTGAGCTGTCTTGAGGTCCAAGATATCGTCCTCCCTTTGACGACTCTGGTTCCTCCGCAATAGAAGTAGAATTTCCCTCTGGGAGGCCGCCAGGCTGTCTACTTTCTGCAGCAGCACATGCAGTGTTTCTGCAATAAAGGTGTTTTTTTTTTTGTTTTTTTTTAAATCAAGGATTGAAAAAAGGTTTTTATTTAATTTTTATTTTAAATATTAACAGAATAATTCACAAAAAAAAAAAATTGAGGTAATTTAGAGGTAAACGCGTTTGTGTACACCTTTTTGATCACATTTAAACACATTTGGTATCTTGTTGTATCTTTTACCTTTGAGGTCTTTTGGCATTGAAAAATCTCTGGGAGGCCTTGTCCATGGTTGTCGCTCCACTGAAAAGGTAACATCACAATTCTGTTAGACAATTATGCAGACATTTAGTTTTTTCTTTTTAAGTTAAAGGGGTCATATGATGCGATTTCAAGTTTTCCTTTCTCTTTGGAGTGTTACAAGCTGATTGTGCATAGATAAGATCCCTGAAGTTGCAAAGACTAAAGTCTCAAAACCAAAGAGATATTCTTTATCAAAGTTAAGACTCTGCCACGCCTACCTAAAATGGCTCGTTCTAACACGCCCCCACATATCTACCCCACTATGTGGAAATATTAGCATAATGCCACCCAAATGTGCACGCAAACAAAGAAGGCATGGTTTCAGTAACCGCAGTTAGTGTAGAAGCAGCATGTCAGGGAGACGCTGTGTGTTTCTAGGCGAAAGCAAAAGCACTTTATTTAGCCTTCCGAAAGTAGA